TGTGCAAATTGCAATGGTTCAGTGCAGATAGGCATTTGTGCAAAAAATGCGTTATTTAGAATAGAAATGAGATGAACTTAAAGGGCTAAAAGTTAAACGTTCAGCAGCATTGATGCCCGATAATGTGCAATAGGTGCAGAGTTCGGTTTGTGGATCAAAGGTTCAACAGTCTGATGGCAGTGGGGAAGAAGCTGTTGCAGAACCTATGCTTTCAACTCTAGATTTCAGAAAAAATCTTAAACCACATTTCATTAGCCTTACACTTAAAATGTTAAAGCCATCTTGCGTTGATCAACCACATTAAAAAAAGACACATATCTGCAAAGCTGTGAGTTTACACAAATTACAAAAATTTAAGTGGTATGAAGACTTTTGCAAAGAATGTTATTCTTATTAGATCAGAGGAAAGATCATGACTCCAGCTTTATTGTATCATTTTTACTCTTGTGTCTGTATGTATATATGAACTGGATTCAATAGCATCCAAAGTTCAGTGGCTTTTTTTGACATTATTGGAGTTCAATGCTGCTCTCAGTAACTGAGTTATTAGCTTGTCCATTCCACTGACATAATAGGGACACACTCATCAATAATTTGATTCTGTTGTCAGCATGTCACACTGTAATTTGCACCTCCACTGTAGAGCGTATCTATTTATACAGCAGCCCTTAAACAAAGAAATACAGCTGAAAGACCTCTACTTGAACATTTGATACAGAGATATACATAGAAATGGGTATTTGTGAATCAGAACGCAAAGGCTTTGTTTAAAAAAGTACTTAAATTCAAGAGTAAGAGGGACAAAACAACAATAAAAGTGAAATGAAATGGTTGTAACAGAGACTTCTGGCTATACACTGTAGTGCTCTTGAACTCTTGCATATTGTTTGTTTCTGCTTTTTTAGTTACAATATCTTTATTTTTGTTGTATCAAACCCTATTTATGACAAAGGAAAATGTTTCTGTGAAACAAAGGTATATAAGAAGATGAAACGAAGCATTTTAACTTGGTTTATTTCTGTAGATATAAGAATGGCTTTCAAAGTCTAGTTTGCAGCATTTTTATGTCTCAGTTCAACTTAAAAGTTAGAGATTATTAAACAGATTTGAATTACAGGCAGAGTAATTATTAAACTCCATGTCTGATTTCATTTCTTTAGTTAAAAATAAAACTGTCAGAGTCTGCCTGACAAAGTCTTGGTTGCGCAGCAGCAAAGATTTCGATGAAGAATTTGATGAAACTGAGGTTTAAGTATAACTGGGAAGGAAATTTATCCCAGTCTTCTTTGTAAAATCCTCAGTTCAGCCAAAGTGGAGGATAAAGCAGTGGAAAGGCTATACAGTATATCATAATGGGTGGTAAGTGGTGGCCGAGTGGTTAGGGAATAGAGCTTGGAATTCTGAGATTCTTAGTTCAAGCCCCACTCCCACAGACTGCCACTCTGGGTCTCTGAGCAAGACCCTTAACCCCCGATTCCTCCCCGGGCGCTCCACAATGGCAGCCCACTGCTCCCCAGGGTTATGGGTTAAATGCAGAGGTAGATTTGTCCGCTGTGAGATCACTATAGGTTAGTTTATAATTATACAATGCCACAGCAGCTCAAGTTGATTGAATTCAGGACTTTGAATAGGCCATTCCAAAACTTTATATTTATGTGCTAATTTATTAAATGTAGACCTGTTGGTGATTCAGTGTAATGTTTTGCTGCACTTCAGCTTTTAGTTATTAATTGTTGGCCAAGATCTGTTCTTCAGGAATTCATGGTTCCATCAGTTATGTCGACTTGTCCAATCCAACCCATCAATCTATCACAATTACGTTTGACAATCAGTATGACATTTTGTTACATAAACATAAGGATATATGTACAGGATAAGCATATATACTTTATCAGAACCAGCTTTTCTTTCTACTTTCTTTTTAATTTAAAACATGACTGCAAATTTACATCCCTTTCCTGTAATCATCATTTTTCTCTTGTAAATTTTTACTGCATTTTGTATCTATAATGTCTCTATGCTGTAAGTGCTTGAAAAGAGTCATATTTATTGTTTGTGCACAAGATCCTGCCTCGTAAAGCTGATTTTGAAGACCTGCAACTTTCCAAAAGTTTCATTTTTGACTTTAAGTCGACAAAATATTTCACTAAATCATTAAGATTTTCCTCCAATTGTGAGACTTTTTTTTTTTTCCTTTTTTCTTCTTTTTTTTGTCATTTGACCTTTATTTATAAAGGTTTTCTTGCTGAGATCCTGAGATCTAATTTACAAGA